CCCTCCCCATTCCACCCCCAGCCTGCAATCGAAATCCAAACTAGCCCCCCTCCTCACCCACCTGCGCACAAAACTCCACCCCCTCGTAAGCAGCACAACCGGCCAGTCCCACCCCTCCTTCCCGCAGACCCTGCTGGCCTTCCACTGCCTCACCCACGCCCAGCTGGACAGTCTGGCGCGGCACTTCCACCAGGTTTATCCGGCGGTACCGGCCACCGAGTACTACCCGATCACGGTGCCGCCGTGGGTTGGGACGGAGGGGGCGGCGGAGGTGGATTTGGAGGTCAAGCGGCGCAGGTTTGGGAGGTTTATTGGGTTGAGGGGGTGTGAGTCGCCCACTTTGGAATCTTCTGGTCAGGAGGGGAGGAATGCGTGGGTCGAGATGGCGGAGAGGAGGAGGAGGGTGAGGGGGTGGTTGGAGAGGTTGGAGATTGAGGGGTTTGGTTCCGGGGGGAGGAAGGGGAGTGGGGATAGGGAGGGGGAGGGGGTTATGGAGGAGGAGAAGGAGGTGGAGGAGATGTACCTGGATAATGGGGCTGGGGTTGGGGACGGGGAGATGCCCTCTGAGGAGAGGGAGACGCCGGAGGAGATGCTGGCGCGCATGGCGAAGGAGTGGGATGCAGCCATGGAGCGGGCGAAATGGGATTCCAACTTTGCGTTGCGGTGGAAGATGGGGGGGTAGTTGTAGTTCTTTGTCTTTATCTTTTGAGGTGGTTTCATTGGAGGTGAGGGTATGTTTGATGTATGGATGGATCTATTGAGATTAACTGTCTAGATATCTCGGGTTATATATGCCCTATAGTGAAAGCATCTACTGAGATTAATCGTCTGGATATCTCGGGTCATATACTCAGTCTAATGTCCCATCCCCTTCTCTTGGTTCTCCACCACAATCGCCCAGTACTTCTCGCGGCTGCGCTCCCGGAACATCTTGCCCCATTGGATCATCACCAGGAACACGGCGGCGCACGCCAGTCCCACAAACGCCGCCGAGATGAAGCAGTTCTGGTAGCCCAGGTTGTCGACCCACGGCGTGATTCTGCCGGCCAGCTGTCAGTCCACGACCATCGCACACCAAAAGAGCAGCACTCACCCGTATCCAATGGCAAACGACATCGTGTTCCGCACCAGAATCACCGTCGCCATCGCATCGCCGCTCAGCTCGCGGTAGCTGTCCACCAGGTAATTCACGCTCAGCGTGATCCCACACGTGTTGGCCATCGCCAGCAGACACATGGCCACGATCAGCCCGAACCAGTGCACCTGGTGCGCGGCGCCCACCCCCCAGAGCAGCAGCGACCCGGGAACGAGGACCAGGCAGATCGCAAACGGCCACAGCCGCTGCTCCGCCTCCATGACCCCGTTGTTGCGCCGCGCCAGGCGGATGGTGAGCCAGTCGCTGAACCGGCCGGTCAAGAGCGAGCTGAGTCCGTTGTTAGTGATTGTGGAGGCGTATATGTTGGAGGGCACTCACGCAAAGACTACGCCCAGAATACAGGCTAGATAGCTCAGACCGACCATCGAGGAACTGTCATGGTCAGAATCCGTGTCTGTCGGACCATGCGTATTGCACGTACCTGAAGTTGTATGGAGCCCCACCCAAAATGATCGAGGCAGTACCATTGAGCACATTGAACCAGATCAGGTACGACCCGTACGAGAACCTATCGATGTTAGCCACGTTCAAGATCCAATCCAGGCTGTCGCCAACCCACCCTGCATAGAAAATCACCGGCCAGCTCAGATAGTATAGCGTCTGCCACAGCCGTCGGAACATGTTGTTTCGGGGCAGTCGCGGACCCAGCAGCGAGAGCTTCTGGGCGTAGCTCTTCTTCTTATACATGACGCCGCACTCCGTATCAGCCTGCTGAGCCAGTCCGGAGGGAGCCTTCTCCTTCTCGCTCTGTTCCGACGTCCGTGTGGAAGACGTCAATTGCGACTCGGGCGCGGTTCGCTGCTGGCGCACGTAATTCGTCTCCTCCATGAAAAAGAAGAGAAACACAATGGCACCGCCACAGAAAATGCTGGGCCAGTAGAACACCCATTGCCAGCCTTGGTATTCCGCAATGAAGCCGCAGATCACCGGGGCGAAATAGTTACTCCCGGCCAGGAAGAATGCATAGAGGGCCATGTAGGTGCCCCGTTCGTGGGTGAAGTACTATTCATTCTCTTATCAGCTTGGTTGGAGGTTACATGCCATCAAACTTACCACGTCTGTGACAGTGACCTCCGGCAGGGCTTCGATCGGGGCAGTGAAGAAGCCTGATATGATGCTCCGCGCGATCCACTGGCCGTTGGTGTGGATGTACGGGCTGGTCCAGAGTTAGTTAAGCTACCACAGCAGGTGGGCCCGGTGACAGCTTACCCCCACATCGAAGTGCCCTATGAAATATTAGCAGTGACCCTTTTCCCCTGCCCCCAAGAGTTTCAAGGGCTTACCAAAATCCCAACCAGTGACAGAATATATGTCAAGCGTTTGCCGTATTGCATAGCCAATGGCTGCCAGAACAGCAGCCCCCAGCCCGCGAATAAAAACATATACCCAGTGCCCTCGTTCAGAGTCGACACAGAGACACCCGTAGCATCCGACAGCTGAGTGAGCACCGAGTATACGACCGAACATGCGATTCCCGCGAACAGGGTATATCTATGACGCAATGTCAATACTGCTGAACCACACCGGGAGCTCTTCGGCCGATGTCCACATACACGCTGACACAAATTGTCGAAAGCAGTTTCCGGCGTGGCGCCCAGTTCAATGGATCATCGGGATCATCCGAGGGCTCTGGGATAAGGACGATGTCGCTGTCGCCCTTGTCCAGGTGGCGGGTCGCCAGAACATGTTGCAGATCTACAAGGGTCACTGTGCCGGGGATGGCATTTCTGTCCACTGTCGGGGCCATGGTGTCGGCCAGCGATTGGTAACAACCGACGAGCCTTTTTCAAGAATCTAGGAAAGAAGAGCCAGAAGAATGTTGCTTCTGGTTAGAGATGAGATCTGCTTCCTCCCTGCGGGCAGCCGGGACTATTAAAGTCTGGCTGCTGTCGAGGAAGCTTTCCGACGGCGACCGAATCAGCGTGCAGCGTACATGTCAACCCTCGCAGAAGCCGGTTGAGTAGCATTATTGACTGCGTTGGAGAGCCCCCTCCCCCCGCTTGTGGCACCATGGAACAATTCCGTCTGCTATCAGCGTTGTGCACATCCATAGATGATCCAACCTCTTGTCGCCGTTATCATAGGTCTGCAGATAAGCCCCCTCCCTCGGGTTGCATTCCGTCACGCTGAGAAACGCCGAGTTTAAGCAAGCATTGCACGGATGGGGGTCATTGGGAGTCGGGGACCCTATGGATGGGGCAGCCCTCTGATAATCTTGCGCTGATGGATCCACTTGGTTATCAGAGAGTGTCAATGGCCGGCAAAAGCAGATGGCGATAACCAGTCGTGGCTGTCTTCCCCGCGCGGCTTCGAGGCGGGCCATCGCGATAACTAACCACTTGCGATGATTCGGACAAGGCGGGGATATCGACCGTCGGCAAAGGATCCTGTTCTCTCCGGTAAGCCAAGCTGCTGCTTTTGCATCGAAAGGACAGATTGATAGCTCGACGGGTCAACCTGCCTGTCGATCCTATCCCCTTTATCGTCTTTTGCTTAGCCTGCCCAACGGTTGTCAACAGGTTGATGTAGACATTTCAGGTACAGCTCGGAATGTACCTCTTCCTCGTCACTGGAGGTTCGTATATTGATAATGCCAGAGGTACAGTACATGCCATGCTTGCACGCAGGCGATTATCATGGAGAAAGGGAAGCAGACTTAGGGAGGCAGGAGAGAGAAAGTCTTCCCGGGTGGACCAAGTCAAAGGACAAAATACGAGCGTCCCTCACATCAGACTGCGGTCTGGAACATGTTTCTACGCCTACGTCAACTATCTTCCCAACAATAGATAAGCATTGACCTCTGATAACAAAACTCTAGAAAAACCCGGTTTCTCATACCAGGTCCTTTGTCAGTAGGTGATCACCCCTGAGATATTGATACAACTATTATATACCTATTAACGCGGAAGGAGATATGTTCAACATTCAAATCATTTCATATGATACACCAGGCAATCCAACGATCAGCACAGCTGACGAGGGCCGGCATTGATGGAGAATCAAAAAGCAAGTATCTGCAAGTAACATGCTAAGGCAACAATAGGAAAAGGTGGCTCCAGTAGATGGCTTAGCTCGAGCCTCCGGGAACCTCATCATCATCTGGTAGCTCCTTGATGACGTCTTGTATGATCTGAATCAATTCATCAATGTCTGGCCGGTCTGCAGGCTCGACCTGTAGACACTTGCGCACAACTTCTTTCACAGGCTCACTGATTGCCATGGCATTGTCACGGTTGTTGTTGTTGTCACCAGCTTTCCCTTTCCCTTTAGTTGCACTCGACTTTTCGTCAGGGAAACGCCAGTCTCCACCTAGTACACACATACTCAGACTGCCGCCAGTCTCTTCGCTCCGAGCTTCGAAGGGACTCTTGCCCACCAGGCAGGCGTAGAGGGTACAACCAAGAGACCAGATATCCACTTTGGTATCAATGATCGAGCCCGTCTTGACATCGAACAGCTCGGGCGCCCGGTAGGGCATTGTGCTGTGCTCCGCTGCAGTATCCTGGACCGCTAGAGCGAGCGAGCGAGAGGTGATAGCGATCGGACTGGGTGCCAGCGACCCAAGGTCCATCAGAATGGGCGTACGACCATCGTCGGCGATCATGATGTTCCCTATTCAAGAATTAGCCTAGCCAGTCTCTTCCTGCCGCTGCGATTACCATACCCGGCTTGATATCTCGGTGAGCGTACGGACGGAGGTCACCGTCCTGCACTCCTTCCTGACTTATGGTCACTTCGTCATCCATCAAAGGCTCATTTTCCTCGTCATCGTCATCTGCATTTTGGCTGGCTCGTCGCTTGGTCTTTGCCTTGCGAACAGCGGCGTCTGCGTCTGCCTCGGCTCCCTCCCTCCTGACAGCCTTGGCTTTGCGGGTCGGCCCCGAGCCGCTCTTGACACGATACTGGTGCATGGCGCGCAATGCCCGGGCGACTCCCAACACCAACTCCATCAGCCTCTTCTCCGGGAAACGGGAATGATTGACGAGATTGGCGTTGATCGCATCTTGAAGGTTTCCGCGTTGGTAGTAAGGTAATAGGATGTAAACGGTCTTGGAGCCAGGTTCGCCGCCGTCGGAGCGGAATTTGGAGCCGGGTTCAGTGGAAACACAGTGATCAATGGAATGGATGATGTTGCTGTGCGATGTGAACAGATTGTAGGCCTCGACCTCCTTCAAGGCCTGGGAGACAGATTCTTGGCCAAAGGGGCATCGGATTTTCTTGAGCGCGAACAATTCGGAGGTCGCTTTGTCTTGGACGAGGTAGACGTAGGAGAAACCGCCCTGCAAAGTAGGGGCTAATCGTCAGCATAACGACTTGTTCGGAAACGCTGCACTGGACCAGCAGTCAGATGCGGACACTCACTTCACCTAAAAGGCGGAGCAATTTGAAGCTACGACTATTGATCTTCAATTGCGGCGTGCTAGGAAAGCAGCACATGCAATCCGTGAAGCTGTAGAGAAGGTCGAAGAAGTATTGCGCCATGGCGAAAGGGCGCGGCGCGGCAATTGAAGGGCGAAGGTAGGGGAGGTGCGACGAAGCTCTTTGCAAGAGCAGTGATGATCACAACAATACTCAGCAATAGACGAGACGGCTGTGGTGACCCCGTGGCGACTAACGACTAAGGAGAGCTAGTTTCCAAGGAGAATACGTACTATCGTCCACTTCTGACGGGCTGGGCTCCACCCCGGAGTTGGCGGCGCAAAAGCGGACAAGTAGAACGGTTAGGTAAGGGAGCGGAAGACAGTGGTCGGAACTGCAAGGGAAGGAGGAGGCTTGAAGAGGAGGTGATAACGAAGGGCAATTCAGGGTATAGCAGGGTGGATTGAGGGGAGTTGTAGTCTCCTTGGGAGAGGGAAATAATTTCAGGTGGTGTGGTGATGATATGAGGAGGAGTAATACTGAATGAACTGTTAACAGTATGGAGCAGCGATGAGGAGAAGAAGCACGGATGATTGAGGTGTACGGTGGAGTCCTGAATCTTCAGGCAGAAACAAGAACGTGCATTGCCCCAGCCACTAGTCCCCTTTGGAAGGATTTATTGTATGTTTCGAGGATGTAAGTACGTGACGGGACACTGAGACTGCTGAGACTGGTGGGGCACATCTGTCCATGGTTCGTGTGTGTTCATTACTCATTTGGGATGAGCTCGAATCGATTGATTGAAGGCTGATTGATTGAGAGAGGCTGAAGGCAGAAAGCCTTCCAGCTGCAGAGCTTCCTGAGCTTATCCCCGATTCGATTGTTTTTGTGTCGTCACTTGTCACTTTCACTCTCAACTGGAATCCCAGCAGCAAGCATCCTTTCACTTACCGTGTCTCTCTCTCTTGCCGCAAATTTGTCGACCAGATTCGATTCGATATCCACCCCCCAGTCTTTCAGTCTGATTTGTCGTTTGTCTGCGCCTTTTGCCTTTGCCCCTGTCCTTCGCTGCCCAACAGGAGGACTGGGAGACCCTACCTGAACGCTTCAGAGACACAGAGGATAGGGATAGATAGGCAATAATCATCCCTCCGAACCTCCTGCTAGCTGCGCATCCATCCTAAACACCAGCTATGTCGACTGACCTATGATCAGTCACTTCTCTCCTGCAACTGCTTTCAGCCACCCCACACCTCTTCCGCTACCAGACCATCCCTTTCTTCACCTGTCCGTCGTCCCTTGAAAGTCACTCACTGTCTGTCCCTGTCTGTGGCCTTATATCTCGACCCTCAAGTCCCTTTCCCTCCCGTTCCGCAGAATCTTCGACTCGACGCGACTCAATCCCCAACCTTCGACCCTCCTCCTGACCCGACCACCTTCAGTCACCATGGCACCCCTCGACGATGTCCAGGTGGGCGACCTGGTCAACGTCCCCGGCGGCATGTACGGGACGGTCAAATACCTGGGAACTGTGGCGGGCAAACCAGGCAAGTTTGCCGGTATTGAACTCGCCTCGGAGCATGCCAGGAGGGGAAAGAACAACGGGGATGTTGAAGGGAAGCGTTACTTCTCCACGTCTATTCCCGGCTCCGGTATCTTCGTGCCGATGAACAACAACAAGTATGTCACCAAACGTGCTTCCGGGCTGGGCTCGAGCATAAATGCCGGCCCTCCCACCCCTTCGCGGCCCGTCAATTTCAGCAAGTCTATCGGCCCTGGTACCTCGGTGCGCGCCCCGCGGGTGAGACGCCCGTCCCTCCCCCGGCCCGAATCACCCAGAGGTCCGCCTTCGTCCAAGTTGAGCCTGGCGGGGTTACGAACCCCGTCCGTGGCATCGAGAAACGCATCGACAAATGGCTTTCCGCGAAGCCCAGTGAAGGCTCCCTCCCGTGCTTCTGACCGACCGCCGTCGCGGTTGAGCACGGAAGACGAGCTCCCATCGGCCCGTACATCTGACTACCACCAGTCATCCGTGGCAGCAGAACTCCAGGAAGTACGGGAGCAGGTTCAGAGCCTGGAAAAGCAGCTGCTGGACCGCGATCGCCAGCTGGATGAGCAGGCAGCCACCCTATCGGATTTCCAGCGGACCCTGGAAGAGTTGGAGGGATCCGACTCCCTTTCGATCCGAGCCCAGTTGCGCGAGAAGAATGAGAAGATCGCAGCGCTGACTGCGGAATTCGACCTGCATCGGGCAGATTTTAGAAGCACATTGGATACTCTGGAGGTGGCTGCCTCGGAAACGGAGCGAGTTTATGAGCAACGCCTAGAAGAATTGATGCAACAAAATCGAGAGCTGGAGGAGCGCGGCGAGGATGTTGAAACCGTCGCAAGGCAGCTTAAACAACTCGAGGAGCTAGTCTCCGAGCTTGAAGAGGGTCTGGAGGACGCACGGCGGGGAGAAGCCGAAGCCAGAGCAGAGGTGGAGTTTCTGCGGGGCGAGGTCGAGCGAACGAAGCTGGAACTCCAAAAGGAACGTGACTCGAAGGAGTCTCCAGCCGGAACCGACGGACAGTACCACCTGAGAGAATTAGAACAGAAAGACGACGAGATCCGTGGCCTTAAGGCTATCATTCACTCGCTCAGCCGTGGTGATCCCGATTTGCATGCAATCCAACAGAAAAGCATCGGCACAAGCCCACAGCCCGACCATCAACCCGACCACCAGCCAGAACATGTCCCTCACCTCGAGCAACAACCAGAGGGGTTTGAGCACATTCCGGAACGGAAGAACTACCGCATCGAAGAACTCGAACGCGAACTCCAGCAGATGCAGATCAACGGTGGTGGTCGCACGCGCAGCTCTACCGTTACCACCGCACCAACCCACCAAAAGTCCACCAGCACCAGTGGGTCAAATCTCACTAATGGGAATGTGATCAATCATGCACACCGTCTATCAGATCGCACGGTGGTTCCAAATGATTGGCACGACCAACCCCAGCATGAAGGGCAATACCAGGCCTACTCTGTACGCCACCGCGCCATGTCAGATGCTTCCCATCATCGCCTAGAGACGATGCACGAGTCAGATGCTCGCTCGGAGGACGGTGGCTCATTATGGTGTGAGATTTGTGAGACAGGCGGTCATGACATCCTGAGCTGCACAAACATGTTTGGTGCCGAGAACAAGGAGAAGACTCCTGAGCCTGAAGAGCCTCTTCACGATGACAGCTCCCTAGATGAAAAGCCTACCCCTGAAACGTCTACGGCGGAGCCCTCCACATCTTCAACTCCCGAGGAGAGCACAACGCCTCAGAAGACCGGACGTGATGCCGTTCTGGAGGGTCTCAGGGGAGTAGGTTTGACATCATCCATGGCCCCCGTTGCGGGGAAAGCGAGCGGTGTGATTGACGAGTCTAAGTGGTGTGCTCTCTGTGAAAGAGACGGCCACGAGAGTATCGACTGTCCATTCGATGACTGAGGAGTGGACTGGCCTGATTTCCTGCTTGGTACGGGAAGCATGGCATTCGTTCGGTCCAACGACGGCCCTATGATTGCAGTCAGTCTTGCGGACTCGGGGCATGCTTCATGAGGTATGGCAGTCCACGAGCCTTGCCAATGAGTAATGGCTCTTTGCTGCCATAGGCAGGCCTTTATATACGATACGCTTTGCGGTTCCACACATCTGAGCCTGCCACTTTCATCTCACCTTGTTCTTCTTGATGTTTTGCTTGGTGATAACCCAGTCTGTCTTTCTACAATGTACAGTTCGGTAGCATGGGATGGAATAGCGTGCATATGCAGTCTGCTCTGTTGGTGCGGCTGTGATCAACTTACATGTTACAATTAGCTTTGGTCGAGTGTGTTGCGGTTCCTTCATTCTTTGTGTTATGTTTTTTTCCTTTCCGTGCCCTGGTGTCGGCTGGTCCAGAGAAGGACAGCCGCCTTTTGTGTTCCCTTTCGCTTCAACTTCTCTTCTCTCCCATATTCCCCTGGATAACCGTCACCGTCCAGACGTTCGATACTTGACTATAGCCTGCGGGCACCCTAATCAAGGCCCTCTAAGAGGACCCATCCAAACCGTGCTACACAACAATCCAACAAGTTCCGAGATATAGACTTGCTATCCAATCTAAGACAATCTCGCCGACGCAGTTTTCGTAATCATCAACATCACACATCAAAGCCGAGCCCTCCCCCCCTACAGATATTTTACATCGCCATGGCATGTAAGAACCGGGGTATCGATTTGCCCTTTGAATCTAAAAGAAAAAAAAAAACCCTTACTCAGGATGCCTAGGCGGCTGTACGATCTCGCCCTCGGCGAACTTGGTCTGCGCGACAGTCCCACAGGCCTTGCAGGTCCGCTTCTGCTCGTCGGCCCCAAACTCGTTGACCACCTCCTTCACCTGCGTGCCCAGGTCCGTGCAGATGAACCGCTTCTCCCAGACGATCTCCCCGCAGCCGCGGCAGTACCAGCGCATGCTGTCGACCGCGTCCTTGGCGCGCGGCTGCTCCATCACCACGCCGACCGTGTCCCGGAACCGCACGGGGCAGTGCGGCGTGTTGGCCGGCAGCAGGAAGATCGACCCCTCGTGGATCGGGATGTCCTGGAACACCGGCGGCGTGACCGAGGTGTCCACCGTCTTCAGCAGCATCGACCCCCGGTACTGGTAGAAGAACTCCGGCGTCGTGTTGCAGTGGTAGTCCGTGCGCGCGTTGGGCCCCCCCACGATCATCACCGTATACCCCGCCGTCTCCGGCGAGGACGGGTGGTACACGCAGTAGTTGTTTACCGGGGGTTGCAGGAGGTGCGAGTTGACTTCTAGCCTGCGCGAAGTTTTGGTATCATCAGCCGTGTGTACGAAACGCGAAATTGGGGAGGGAAGATGAGTCAATGGGTGTGGGAGGAGGGGATTTTGGTGGTTGATAAGCAAATGACAATGCGGGGGCGAGGAGGGGTAGGGAATATGATCAACCAAATGCTATACATACCATTTGGGGATGTTTAAGGCCGGTGGTAACATTTTTCGGTCCCGTAGTATCTGCAGCGATGGATTTTCCTGGAGGTCAATACCGGATGTTGTATTTTGTTTTTGTTTTGGAAGCAGAGATGAAGGGCGGAATGGGTTTATCTTCCCGGTGAGTATGAATGAGTATGTGATCATCCGACAGTCCACTCCAGGGTCTAATGTTATCTGCCCGGAGATAACCCGCGCCAAACGCCGGGAGTCGGAACGGAACATCCTCCCCTTCCGGCAGATTTTCTCGATTCCCTTTTTCGGATCAGGCCAAAAGATTCCAATCCAGTTCCACGCAGGCACGAAATTCTGATCGCCTCGAGGCTTTTTTGAATCAACCGACGGCGTTCTCGAGGAAATTCCCCCTCATCCCTCCGGACACAATGGCGTCGACTTCTCAGCCCCCGATCCGGCTTACCTCCCACAAGAACTTCGTCTATCGCTTGGTCTTCTCCACGTTGACTGGCCGGACCGTCCACATCTCACAAATCCGTCCTTCGTCCCCGACGAATCCCGGTCTCGCGCCGCATGAAATCTCTTTCCTTCGTCTCCTCGACGCCGTCACCAATGGCTCGCAGATGGAAATCTCCTACACGGGTACGATCGTCGTGTACAAGCCAGGCCTGATCACCGGCAGCGCTACGGGCACCGGCGCCAGTGGAGGCGTGATTCGCCATGAGCTCCCCGCAGGGTGCACTCGTGGTGTGAGCTACTTCCTCATCCCGCTGTGTCTCCTGGCGCCCTTCTCCAAGGCGCCGATCAAGGTGACATTCACGGGTCCCGGCGTGATCACCTCGGCCACCCCGACGGGCGACATGTCCGTCGACAGTGTGCGCACGGCCATTCTCCCTCTCTTCAACCAATTCGGCATCTTCAACAACATCGAGCTGCGCATCCTCAAGCGATCCAACCCGGGCCCCAACGGTCGCGGCGGCGGTGGGGAAGTCCAGTTTGTGTTCGGCCACCAGCTGCGACTCCCGAAAACTCTGCACCTGATGAACCCCGGTCGGATCAAGCGGGTGCGTGGTGTGGCCTACGCGGTGGGTGTCTCGGCGTCCAACAATGCCCGGATGATCGAAACCGCCCGTGGCATCCTCAACCCTCTGGTGCCCGACACCTACGTCTTCTCTGATGTGTCGTCGGCGCCCTTCGTGCCTGCGCCGGAGAAGAGCAACCCGTCCGGAAAGAAGAAGATCGGCCTTGGCTTTGGCCTGTCCCTGGTCGCTGAGTCGTCGACGGGGTGCCTGTTCTCCGCCGATGTGGCATCGCCGCCCTCCGGTGGTGAGGCGCCTGAGGACATTGGGAAGCGATGTGCCTACCAGCTGCTGGAGACCGTCTCCAAGGGTGGCTGCGTTGCCCCTGCAGCCGTGCCGGTCATGCTTGGTCTGATGACCATGGGATCGGAGGACGTGGGTCGTATCCAAGTCGGCCGGGAGGTGATGGCTGACGAGAGCACCATCCAACTGGCCAGGGACCTGGCCAAATTCGGGGCCCCGGGCTGGGGTCTTCGCGATGCGAGTGGTGAGAACGAGAATGGAGACGTGATCATCAGCGTCGTTGGCCGCGGCATTGGCAACGTTGGGCGCAAGGTCGCTTGAGCGTGAAACACATTGTTTCATCGCCTCATCTCACTCCGCGGGGTTGGCATGTTCGAGTCTTATCGCTGTACCCGATTGAATCATCTGTTCTTGGTCTGTGGCGGCTCTATCGGCAATGTTCTAGCTTTGTTTCAGAGCCCAGTCACCCTTGCCCTTGCTCAGGACAGCGGTGAAAACCGACCACGGCCAGGGGAATGAGCAGAGTTTCACATAAGCCGAGGAAGGAGACGGACCACGTCTATGCTTCATTTTCCAGATTTGGTCTTATTCATTGTCGCCAAGTTTCACCGCTAGCTTGGCCCTGCTGCCACGTGGCTGAGACCACACCGGACAGATGGCTGATGATCGCACACCGCAGCCCGCCATTCGGCATTCATGCCCCGTCCAAAGTCTTTTGTTGTTCGCCTTTTCTTAATGATACCCACTGTTGTTTGGTCTACGAGGCGTCCACCTCATCTGTAGGGGAAAGCCACGTGAGATGTGAGATTTGGAAGGAAGGGAAATCGGATTGGTTCTCGGAGTCAGGAGTAGGAGGAAGTAGGGCTGGTCGACTGCGGCCTGACGAACAGGCAGTTCCAAAAATATTTCAGTGATTGGTGGTTGTACCATGTATATAGATTAGAGACTACGAAGAAAAAAAAATATAAGTGCCCGCTGGTGTCTCCCATCGATTGACTTTCTATTGCACTACTACTACCAAGACAATTCGCGGCACTTCGCCATGCACTCTCTCCCTCCCTCGTCTTTCTGGCCGTCGATCGCCTCAACGTTGGTCCGTTTAGGAAATCGCTGAGCAACAGTTCGGAGAATTAACGACGCCGCCACGACTTCATCCATGTCGGCCCCCGCGTCTCTTACGCATGTCTCGCTCGACCTTGATTTTAGCCAGCATTAAGTCATTCGACCGATGCGACATGATAAACAAAGGCTTCCTTCTCCTCTCGCCAGCCCGCAGCTCGCAGCTCGCAGCACGCACCGAACTCGGCCATCGCATCGACTCCTCGATTCCTCCGAATACGACCCAACAAGAGCTAATAAAACCTGGCGTCTTTCCCTTGATTCTGTCTCGTTGCCTGCTTTTCCCTCTTTACTTCCGTCTTTCTGCGTCCATATTCTACTAACTCTCATATCACCAAGTCCCTATACACACAGCTTTCCACATCGACTCACGCCCGGCATAATTGTTAACAACGTCTAATCCACGCCTCTCGCCAGACCAGACCTCACCCCCAACCCCCGCTACGAAATCGAAACAGCCATGCCCAAACCAAAGAACTTAGTACGTCTCCTCCACCGACTCACACGCTAACAAGCCGGTGTAGGCACCACCCCGTGGGATGACGGCTTCTTTTTCGCACGACACTTCTCCAGCCCCACGCTTTCTTCTTCTATGAAGAGGAAAGTGATGGACCGAGAAGTGCCGTGCCCTGGATCTACTAACGCCGCTCAACAAAAGCAGGTATCAGGGGGAAAAAATCCTCCGTTCTGAGCAAAGCCTAGCCAATGTGGGCTGGTCCAGTAAGTGACAGAGCTTGTGAGTGTCCCCATACCTAGTTGAAACTTGATGAAGGAGGTGGTGAGGACGATGGTACTGACAATACGTGCTGCGGCAGGCTGGCTAAAAACAAAAGCCCTACCTATTGACCCCACTCGCGCAAGGCACGTTCCCGCAAGGGAAATGCTCTGGTATGATGCCCCCCCCCCCTTTTCCTTTTAGGGTCATGAGGGGATGAAGATGGAGAGGGAGTGTTTTGCTGATGCTGATTGAGGGGATAGTGCTTTCCACCTTCTCCTCTTCCTCCTCCTCCTCCTCCTCTACTACTTCTATATCTACTCTTTCCACCTCAACTCTATACCATTGTACTCCACCACTCTTGAGATCGGAGATCATCTTCCACGCACGGGGAATACCCCAATCCAGACTCTGAGAGCAGCGAGTACAGCTCAGTACAAGCCAGTACGAATGCATGCGCAACGCATCCCACAGTCCGGACGGAACCAAACGCTAACGTCACATACATTAGCTCTACCGTTTCCCTCCTTGTCAATGCAGACATACCGATAACGCAAGGACCGAAAGAGGACGGTGGCCTGTGGCTCGGTGTTTACTCCAGCCCAGTAAGTGACAGAGCTTGTAAGTTACCCCCACTCACCTTTCTCTCTACTGTGCTCATTACGAAAGCAAGAACTAACCTCATCATCAGGCTGGCTAAAGAACCACCGAAGAAGACATTGGCCACAGCCCGTCCAACCTTGCGATAAACCCGTCGTTGACATAGTGACATCAGCACTGGATCTCAACACAGTCCAATCCATCCCGAAACCTCCGGGTGGAACCATTTATGTTCGAGGGGAATAGGAACAGACGGGAATCGGTTGGGAGGTCTGGAGTACTTACTCTTTGGGGGTACAGTACAGTGCCTCGTCAGGCTTATGCAATTCCCTTTGTCTCGAACTATGGATTATATACTACAAATACTTCGGTCTCAACTGGTTATGATTTCTTTTCTTGTGTCTCACACGCCAGGTTAACGGTGTGAAGTTCCATTTACCCGTGCGTTGACACGCAATTTTGAGAAGGTGGATAGCTATCTGGGCACTGAGAATGACTATCTAATTTCACGTCATGCTGTAGCTGGAGAGGATGAAATAGTGGCCTAGCAGCTAGACATAGCTATCCATATTCAATCTTCTCAAAGAGCAGCCCTGAGCCCCTCGATTGTCCCAAGTGCACAATGACAAACAACGCGTTTACCATCGCGGTTAAAACCACAATGCCAATGCCAAACGACGACGACGTCGGTCTCGATGTCAATATACTCTCGCCCAGTAACCCAGCTGACGCATGCACCAGCAGCAGCAACACCACCACCACCACCACCAGGTGGCCCGCCCTACCTACCTACCTACCCAGTCAAACTTCGGTCCTAATCGAGTGTTTGACTGCACTGTAGATACAATAGATAGGTGGTGGAGACTCGAGAAATGATAGGCAATTCCCCATTAGCACGAGTAGATTGTTATCGGTGTTGGCTGGATGTTCATGTCGCATCCCGCTACGCCATGGGGCATTGGGGGCGCGGGGCGCAGGATGCATGATCCGTCACACCGCATCGCGTTCGTCCTCTTTGGCTGGTGGGTGCTGAAACTTTCAAGGTCGTACACGGGCATGACTCGGTTGGACTTTTTGTGGAGACTACACTGGTCTCAGTACCATTACCTGGCATGTCTTAGTCTAACTCACACTGAGATGTGGAATGGTCCTTGCGATATGTTGAGACTCGTGGTTCGTCTGTTGTCCATTGGTTAAAATCATCCTACATGGGACTATCGTGCCTGAAAGAGGTCAGAGTTAAAAAATAGTTAGAATGCGTAGACAATTTAGAGAATTTTATGCTATTTTGAATCCTCTATCTAATGTATAATTGTATCGTACGCAGGGCATGCGGAACGCTCGACGACGAGTATGTATATGAAACACGCGAATATTCACAGAAAAATAAGTTGTGCGGAAAGAAAATATGGCTCCCAACGCCCGGAACGCTCGCAAAGTAAATGGCACACTGCCTTCCCGAGCCAATGAGAGACAATGACTTCTATGTAGTATATGCAGCACATAGACAAGAGGACAAGAGGCGGAAAAGTGCTGAAAAGATACCAGTATCGCTGAGACAGAGTGAAGTAACAAATGATCAACGGTCACTCTGATACATCCTCGTCCTTCCCAGGGAAAACAATATCCCGTTTGACAACGGCACGGATATTGCTCGCAAACACGAACAGCCACATCCCCACGATGCAAATGGACATGGCAGATCCGACGCCCTTGACTCCAGGGCTATCGAAGGCTTTGCCCAGCGTGATGGTCGCGAGAGTAAAACCCGTGTTTGGAAAAACCATGGCCCACCAGTTGAGGTGGAAGGCTGTAGGTGGGAGGCGGATGGTGGCGATGATGGCAATGCTAAAGAACCAGAGACTGAGGGCCCAGAGGAAGGCGCCCGTGGCGATGGCAAGGAGTCGGAGGATGTGCGCGTCCTGAAAGGGGTGCGGGTCTTGAAGGACTTGAAAATCCTCAGGAAGGCCGTTGGTCATGCCGATTAGGGCAAGGGCCGTGAAAGCTGGGGGGCCAACGCAGATGAACATCCCGGGTCGGTGTTCCCGGGACGGAAGGCCCGTCTCCATGAGCCGCCCGATGTAGTGCGCGTACATGAGGAAACTGATGGAGAAGCCAAGGCCTTGGAAGGTCGTGCCGGCGACGATCATGGGAATAGCAGAGCGCGCGGGCTGCTGTTCGGCAATGACGGAGGCGATCGTGCCGCTGAGCATGATAGGGAATGCGGGGAGGATCCACGAGGGCATCATCGTTTGAAGAGGGTAGTGGTGGGCGGTAAAGACAAAAGAGTATTGGATGATAGCGGTCATCAGAGTGAAGGCACAGTAGAGCCAGAAGAGCACCTCAAGGGCGTAAATGAATGTGGGCTGTGTGGTGTTGCCGAAGTAGCGGTACAGGCCGGTGATGATAGTTGCAATAGAAAGCCAGAAAGTGGGAAAGAAAAGACCCTCGCGGTCGTGTCGGAGGGAGTCGAGGAAGTTGCCGTGGAGAATGAAGCGTGTGGCCATGAGGCTACACAGCAACGCAAAGAAGGCCAGGTTGACGATGTAGACTGCAAGCCCGATCTGTTGCAGTCCGGAGAAGGAGTAGGGCTGGCTGGCCAGCAGGAGGGCTAGGCCGCCGGTGCTCATAGTCAAAGTATACCAGGCCCAGGTAAAATGACGCAGACGGTCCCGTAGAGACACATTGGTGGAACTAGAGAATTTGGAGGCTTTAAGCTCATGCTGGTATGTTGTAAGGTCCGAGCAGGAGGTGCCGGGAGGCGGGTATTGCTCGAGCATACTGTGTATCAGAGAGATGAAGATGAAGAAGAATGACTGTACCGATGACTATCTAATGGAAACGGTGCCAGTTTTAATAGTAGAAAATGAGCGACAAGAAGTTGTAGAGCTGCATTCAGGCCCAAGTGAGGGTCCACGGTGAGTTTAGCACAGCCAATTTGAATATGTTGATAAAGCCAATGAGTGTGAACCACAAACCCAGTATAGAAGCGGAGAAGCACAGATATAGCATCAGCCTGCATTAGCCCCTATCCATCAGGGCTTTGACAAGGCCTCGCAACATTGGGTTGCTCTGTTGCCCTCGCTACTACCATTGAAGGAGATGGAGCATACGGTGTCGCCAAGCGCCTGATCTTTTTGATCCACCAAGTGCGACAGAAGAGGAGACACTTGGTCTGGGCGTTGACGCTTGCAGATCCAACAATGGGCCCCTCGCGAGAGACGCGGCGAATTAGGAGGGCGAGCAAGTGTAAACAACCTGAGGGAGGAGACATACCACCTGCCAAGATTGCAGTTCTGGTCCACAGTCCAGGCATCATCGAAGGTAGGGAGTGGGCTGGATGCCGAGGAATTGGATGGGACCAAGATCTACCTTTTTTCAGTCTCGGCTTTGCTGAAAGTGTATGGTTCTGTGACAGTGGGTCACAATTGCAGAGACAACGTCAGCAGCCAGTCATTCCATCAAGTTTCAAGCTGTGGAATGTGTACGCCATCTCTGTTGCCGTCTACAAGTGGCGCATGTCATAGCATGATGTGATTTCTGCAGCAGTCTCTTTGAAAGAGAGCTAGAGATAATGATCAATGGTCAGGAGAATACCAGCTGCCTAGAGAAAGTCGTAGGTTGCTTTCGAAACTGCCGGGGAATCTAAATTTGAGGCAAACGCGTTCTAAGTGAAAAGCCGTAAGTGATAGAAATGCTCCGACCACGATGGGAAGAGACACAAGTGTTGCGAACCAGCGTCGGCTCATTGAGCGATTTGCATCATCACCATCATCACCAATCGGAAGAGGCCGATAAGCCTCCCCTGTCGGACCGAAAGTGAGCAACATCGGCAGGGCCAAGGTAAGTCAATGACTATCGTCGTGGCTCGGCCCAAGGATAAGGTTCTTGAGCGCCGGCCGAGATGTGATAGATCGCCGCTTGGCTGGGGAGTGCAACTCAGAGAATTCGGCCATCAACCTAGGAGGCAAGCAGGCAGGCAGGGAAGAAGGGTTCAACGTGGATAGAATGGATGGTGATGAGTAGGCTCAAAGATAGGGAGAAACCCAAGCCAAGAAGAAGATCGACAGCGCAGCGTCAACGGGAGGCCCGCCGCCAAGCTTCACAGTGGCTGTGGCCCAAGATTGAAGGAGGAGACCGATAAGAAGGACCGGAAAAAGGGGGGAAAGTTTATTTGGTTCATGGTTTCATGGTCGAATCATCCAGCATCTGGGTTTGAGTGTGTCTGTGCCGGGGGAGAGTTGCTGGAGTGGAGTGGAGTGAAGTGGAGAACCAAAGTTAAGGAAAAGGAAGAGTTACTGAGAAGAAAAGAGGGAAGAGCGGGAAAGCGTTTAGGGAGGAGGAGGAGGAGGAGGAGGAGGAGGAAAGACTTGGCAGTGCCCAGCCATTCTACGAGTTATTCTCGCCAAGCATGGCTCAGCTTCTTCCACTTCTTCCACTTCTTCCACTCATACGTAAACAGCATTCTTGATCGGCTCGACTCCTCCGTACTACTGCAACTAAAGGAGTACTTCGGTATTCGATGATCGTCTGTCGCTTAGAGCGCGTTTCATCCTTCCTGATTTCCTGACGCAATCCGCAAGCAATTATTCTGCAGCCTGACAATCCAAGCAACAGCAGTCAGACCTGCAGCAAGCAGCCCTGTCCTGTCGCCTCCTTCTTCACGGAAACGTGGTCTGCAGCGAAGCAGACGAGAAACAGGCATTCATGTTCAACGGGGAAGGTCAGACGAATGTCCAGCGCATGCAGAACACAGGTCATATCACACAGAATCATCTGGAAATTGTTTCACTAACAAACTATTCGAGCAGGCACACCCACGCTAACCATGCACAGCAATATCTCACCAAGAAGAAGCCAGTACGCAAGCAACGCTAATTATATCTCATGTCAGACAGCAAGAGAAAAAGTCAATCATATTCATTCAAATGGTCGAAATCATAGTCGCATAAAAAGACACAAGCAAAGTCGTTGATGTGGGGTCGCAGATAGTATGAGATAATCGTTCAGCCAGATATGGACGCCGGATCATGCAGCTCGTACATCCTTGTATGGAATTCTCTGGAACGAACGGGAATAAACGGGTTCACATGCATGGTCAGGAACAAAGGTCGAAGCACAGAAGATGGAAGGGGACATTGAAGAAGTAATAAAAGAACGGTGCTGTTCACAGCATACCTACCGAAACGACATCACATCATCATCCGGTATACGAGATCAGAGGCAAGCTCCGTCGTACTATCGAGCAATGCCCGCAAGCCCTGAGCGGAAGGCTTCTGGGATCTGGTCGAGGGAGAGCCCAGATCACTTTCAACTGGCGGACAGTACGAGGCCAAGTCCCGCACCTTGCACGCTGCGAAGTGCACAACCAGCTTCCGCAACTCGTTGTCCCGCAGTTGGGTGGCAGAGGTCGGAGTGATCGGCTCCAGACGGGTGGTC